TACTAAATAAGCCAGGGAGAGGTTGTAAGACAATTATCAATAGCTACCTCTGAGAAACCGGTTCTGTTCTTGACTAGTGGATTAGAGGGTAAATTATATTTTATTTTTATTTTAAGTTGGAGTCTCACTCTGTCGCCCAGACTGGAGTGCAGTGGCCACTCCCGGCCACCGCAGCCTCAACCTGCTGGGCTCCGGCGATCCTTCCGCCTCAGCCTTCCAAGTAGCCGGAATTACAGGCATGTGCTACCACGCCCGGCTGATTTTTTGATTTATTGTAGAGATGAGGTCCACTGCCCAGGCGGGTCTCGAACCCGCGGTCTCAGGCAATCCACTCACCTCAGCCTCCCAAAGGCGTGGGATTACAGGCTGAGCCACCGAGCCCGGCTGTAGAGGGTAAATTAAAGTGAGCTGCTAGAGAAACATGACAACCAGGCAGTGTCAGAATGGCTGCACTTGAGTTAAAATTATTTCATTAAGTCATTCCATGTTGGCTTTTCACCCTTTCATGCTCCCTGAGCTCTCCAAGCTTGTTTCCTGGCTGTAAAATGGGGGTAGGAAGCCGGTGAGAGTATTCTGAGACCCGGAGTCAGGGGATTGGCTTCTCTTCCTGTAAACCCAAGGTCTTACTCCATGGGGGCAGCGGGTGATGCTGCCCTCGGGGTCCTTACTATGCGGTCCCCACATCCCGTACCATTCCTGGCGCCCTGGCAGCTCTTGGTAACTGTAAGTTCCCCTCTTTTGTCATGGGGCCACACTCTTCCCCTCTAAAAGGCAGAAATTAACCCACTTCTGCCCGACCTGAGCTGAACTCGTCTCTTCTGCCCACCTGAGCTACCGGTTCCTCCGTCCTCCCAGAGAGAACAAAGACAAGGCCCAGCTTTGTCACTCCTGAAGGGGCTGGTGGAGGACTAGACCTCCCAGAGGTTTCCTTCTCCCTCCTTTCCCCTGAGATGGGGGATGGGGAAGGGAGCCCCAGAGGTGTTAAAGTGCCATTGAGATGGTAACCATGCGAGCCCCCAACTCTCCATATCAATGGCATTCCAGCGGGGTCTCTCCGTCCTCTCGCCCTTTGTCCCAGACCAATTAGGCCCTGACTTTAACTCTTCGGTTCCCAGGATCCAGCTGAATCCAGGTGGACCCAGGGACCTAGGAGAGAGCCCAGGGCTTCCCAGTCTGGGCTGAGAGGTTTGAGGACAAGTTCTCTCCTGCCCGCAAGCCCTGAATCCTCCCCCAAGGGCAGCTCCCCACCCTCCTCAGCCTCGCCTCGTGTTCCCAGCTGTTTTCCGACTTACCCCTGAACCTCAGGAAGAGACCGCTTGGTCTTCTAATCTTAGAGACAAAGAGCGGGAGGCACAGGGTGGGCCACCATGAAGGCCAGCCCTGCAGGGCTGACCACTGGGGTGGGGTGTCTGCACTCTGAGCTGGCAGGTCCCCGGAGTGTGGGCTTTCTTCACTTTGTTCGAGGGTAAAGATGGCAGCCACAGAGGGCTGGGTGTGCTCTAAGCGCCCTCTCCAGGCATGACCTCACTGGGCATGTGCGTCCCTCCACTGGGCTGTAACACTGGGGCTTAGAGCTGTCTGTGGAACTGGTGGGCCACTGAAGCACAGCCCACTGCAGCTGCCCAGCTGCCCCGGGTTCCCAGGATACAGGGCTCAATATTCAAACCCAGCATGGAACCAGGTAAACTGGGCTGAGTTGGTCACCTAAGGCCTGAGGCAAGAGGAGGCTTCGGGCTGCCAGGTGTGGGGGTGGGGTGGGAAGGTGGGCCTTCCAGAGACCCAGTCTTGCCTTTGCTGCCTGACACCTGACCAAACCTGTGTGGCCAGATTCCTGGCAGCCCCTGGAAGGCTGCAGAGGGAGCCCCTGACAGGCCAGCCTCTATTTGCCCATGTGCTGAGCCACCCCACCCCCACTCTGCAAAATCCCAGTCCTGGGGCAGGACAAGCTAGACAAACCTGGCCAGATTCCGAAGCCCACTAGTGGCCATCCTCAGCCTCTGTGTGGCCACCAGGCCCTCCCCTCATGCTGGAGGAGGCCTTCCCAGTGGGGAAGCCTGGGGTGAGGTACAGAGGAAGCCCTAACTTGAGTCTACATTCCAAGCCAGCTAATTGGCACTGGCCTCAATGTCTGTATTGGAGGGGGATGGTCTCAAGCTTTTTTAGGGTCACAAACACCTTAGCAAATCTGAATGAAAGTATAAAACTCTCTCTTTTTTTTTTAAGTTGGAGTCTCACTCTGTTGCCCAGGCTGGAGTGTAGTGACACGCTCATAACCACTGCAGCCTCATCCTGCTGGGCTCAGGGGATCCTCCCACCTCAGCCTTCCAAGTAGCTGGAACTACAGGCATGCACTACCATGGCTAATTTTTTATTTATTGTAGATACAAGGTCTCGCCAAGTTGCCCAGGCTAGTCTCGAACCTCTGAGCTCGGGCACAAAACTCTCTTTCAAAACAAAAAAAAAAATTCTCTCTTTTTTAATTTTGTGTTTTTGGATTTATTTTGAGTTAGAGTCTCACTCTGTCACCCAGACTGGAGTGCAGTGGCCGCTCCTGACCACCACAGCCTCGACCTGCTGGGCTCCGGCAATCCTTCCACCTCAGCCTTCCAAGTAGCTGGAACTACAGGCGCGCGCTACCACGCCCGGCTAATTTTGATTTATTGTAGAGATGAGGTCTCGCCAAGTTGCCCAGGCAGGTCTCGAAACTGCGGGCTCAGACAATCCACTCACCTCACCCTCCCAAAGGCGCGGGATTACAGGCTGAGCCACCGAGCCCAGCTCTCTATTTATTTTTATTTTTATTTTTTTTAAGAGATGGGGTCTCACTCTGTTACCCAGGCTGGAGTGCAGTGGCGGGATCATATCATAGCTCACTGCAACGTCAAACTTCTGGCCTCAAGTGATCCTCCCATCTCAGTCTCTTGAGTAGTTAGAACCACAGGTGGGCCTCACCATGCCTAGTTTTGTTTTTCTTTTTTTGTAGAGACAGGGTCTGGCCATGTTGCCTAGGCTCAAAATCCTGGCCTCAAGCAATCCTGACTCCTCAGCTTCCCAAGTGTTGGGATTATAGGTGCGCACCACCATGACTGACCCCCCAGAATATCAAAACCCATTCCCAGAAGTGATGCTCCCACTGTTGGGCTCAGATTCTGAATAATCCTTGAGGTTAGACTCCTTTATAAATAAAGTCCCACGAATAGGTGAGGGGACACTGAGCAGGGGTGCATCTAGCCACCAGCCCCGAGGCAGTGCTGTGAAGTGGTGCAGCCACCAGGTGTGTGTGGGACCCGCCAGACTGTCCCCACCAGCGTTGGTGGCCAGGTGGCATAGGGCAGCCAGGTCTTCCTCGGGAGGAGAGGGGCCGGTGAGAGGCTCTCCCAGGTGAAGTCTACTCTGAAAATCCAATGTGCCTCCCTGAAAAGAGTATGGATGGAAGGAATTTTCCTCAGCCACCCCCCCCACTTCAGTGAATAATGATCTTTGAGAATTCTTCACACCAGGGGAGAAGCTCGAGGGAGTTCATGAGCCCCCCAAAATGAGGGGCACATGTTTGTAGGTGTATATTCCATGCATCCTGTGAGGATTCTCAAGTGGGTCTTTGACACAAGGAGGTGAAGGATGGACCTTGATCTTCCATGATCTGTTCGGGTCATAGTGTTTGAGCTTCAGGTCAGTGTGACTCCCAGGCTGCTCCCACAGGAGAGTCATGGGCTCCAAGGGGCATTTTCAGGAAGGTGGGCTAGAAGGTAGGGCTCTTGAGTGGAGTCCCCTGGGCCTCAGCCCTATGCCCAACTCCTGGTATCTTGGCCTGATGGCCACTCACGAGGGAAGACAGCCTGTCCTGGGCTCCACCATACCTGGGTTCTGGACCCAGCTCCTACCCCTCCCATCCCCAGAACCCCTCCATGCCCGCCCTCCCCTATCTCCACAACAGATTCTTTATCTCCCCCCATCTCTGGAGACCTCAGCTCAGTTCCCTAGTTTCAGCAGTGGGGGTGGAGCAGGCACACCTGAGCTGAGATAGAAGTGGGGGGAGTTTTCTAGGCCATTGCCAGGGTGATGCCACCTGAGCTGGGCGCCAGGCACCTGTTGCCTGGGGAACCATGCGGGCGGGGCTCCCCCCCGGGAGCCACCAGGGCCACTGGGCTGAGACAGGGGACAGATCGGATTCCGGAGAGTCCTGGCAGGCGGGGCTGTGTGATACTGGGGGAGCTGGGCCACGTTTACATCATGAAACTGGGCAGGGGGTGAGCAAAGATGGGGGGGAGGGGCAGCTGCTGAAGGAGGAAGCTCTGGAGAAGGGCCCCAGGCCCACGCCTCTGTCCTGAGGCCCCGCTGCTTATTCTTGTTTGTCCTCAGTCTTCCCACGTCTTTGTCCCCGATTCCCACACGCGCAGATGGTCTTCCTCTCCTGTCCCCTCCCGGCCACGGTATCCCCCGTGGTCCCTGAGGCCCCCGTCCTACCACCTGCCCAAGCGCCCCAGGCCTCCCCCTCCCCTTGCTCTGGTTTCCCCAGTCGCCGCCTCCTGCTTCACTCTGCTCCTCCCCTGCCTGGGCCTTAAAACCCCGCCTGCAGCGAGGAGGCAGCAGAGTCCCCAGGTGGCATCTGCAGAGTGCACGGCTCAGTGGCAACCTGAGCCTGATGGTGGGTCTGGAGAGCCGGTGCAGACTCAGCTGTGACGTGCCTGTGGCGTGGTAGGGACAGCAGCAGCAGCAGGGCGTCGGATGGGTGACCCTCTAGATGACAAGCCACTCAGCTGAGTGGGACCCTGAGCCCGGTTTGAAGATCAGAGACATACCTGTGGGAGGCCCAGAGGGGAAGTGTCTTCCAAAAGACCCACAGATGTGAGGAGTGTCCCACCAGAAGACACCAACGAAACTCCCCCATCTGCTGAGCACCGAGACAACCACCCACCCTGTGACTCCCCACCCAGCACCTCTGGCACACCTGTGGAGTCAACCAAGCCGCCTGGGCTGAGAAGACCTCACCAAGGGGGCAGATGGCTTCGACTGGCTTGGAACTCCTGGGCATGACCCTGGCTGTGCTAGGTTGGCTGGGGACCCTGGTGTCCTGCGCCCTGCCCCTGTGGAAGGTGACCGCCTTCATCGGCAACAGCATCGTGGTGGCCCAGGTGGTGTGGGAGGGGCTGTGGATGTCCTGTGTGGTGCAGAGCACCGGTCAGATGCAGTGCAAGGTGTACGACTCGCTGCTGGCGCTGCCGCAGGACCTGCAGGCTGCCCGCGCCCTCTGTGTGGTTGCCCTCCTGCTGGCCCTGCTTGGCCTGCTGGTGGCCATCACGGGTGCCCAGTGCACCACATGTGTGGAGGATGAAGGAGCCAAGGCCCGCATCGTGCTCACCGCGGGGGTCATCCTCCTCCTCGCGGGTATCCTGGTGCTTATCCCTGTCTGCTGGACGGCGCACGCCATCATCCAGGACTTCTACAATCCCCTGGTGGCTGAGGCCCTCAAGCGGGAGCTGGGGGCCTCCCTGTACCTGGGCTGGGCAGCGGCTGCACTGCTCATGCTGGGTGGGGGGCTGCTCTGCTGCACATGCCCCGCGCCCCAGCTGGAGCGGCCCCGTGGACCCAGGCTCGGCTACTCCATCCCCTCCCGCTCAGGCGCCTCTGGGCTGGACAAGAGGGACTACGTGTGAGGCAGGGATTTCTGCTGGGAGTCCATCACCTTCAGTCTCCCCTGGAGACCAGACACCCTGCTTCACCCTTGCCTGCTGCTGCTACCACCCTCTGCCCAGGGAAATCCACTTTCCAGTAGCTCCATACAGACCCGGTTCCAGGGCTGGGTCAGCCAGCCTGGCTCAGCTAACCCTCCATATTCTCTTCCCTCTCACAACCTGCCCAGGCCAGAGACCATGGGTATCCTGGTCTGCCTCCCTCCCCCCCTTGTTCTGTTTTGCTGTCCAGGACTTAGGCTGGCTCTCTTCTTCTGAGCCCTCTCTGCCCCAGAACTCTGGGCCTCACCTGAAGGGCAGCAGCTCACCCGGTCCTGGAGTTGGCCCGCTGGGGAAGACGGGCCCAGCCTCCAACCCCTGCCCCCACCTGCAAATCTGGAATAAAGAGAGCATTTGTAACTTGGCTTCTTCTGATCTGTGTGCTGCCTCCAGGGCTGGGCAGGGACAGCCAGGTGGCCTCCCTTGGTGGCTGTCAGGCCAAGCTGCTCCAGGTCCCACCGGAGCACTCAGGCCATGGGGTCTGAGCCAAGGAAGGTACAGGGTACCAAGGATGGTGAACTACATATGTCTGCCTCCTCCCCTAGCCAGCTTGGGTACTGGGCAAAGACCTGTAAGAAAACATGCTTTATTGAGTAAAAACTGGAGTGCAGGTGGGCAGGGCGGGCAGAGGGGGAGGGTTGCAGGTGGGGACGGTCTGCAGCACAGCTGGGACCTAACTAGGCACAGGAAGACAGGCCAGAGGTCGGAGGTTGGAAGATGTGGAGGTGGACAGTTCTTTGGTGATTTCTTGCCTGCTCTTTCAGGGATGTGAGAGGCTCAGGGTTCCGGGAGGTTCCAGAGTCCAGACCAGTAAGGGGGTGGCTGTCCCTGCAGTCTAGGAAAGCCCAGCCCCCAGCAGCAACAGGAACTCTTGGGGACAATACATCTTGTCACAAAGACCAGCACAGCAGGCAGCCTTCACTAGTTCCTCGGTTCGGGTTGGCTCCCAAGACAGGGATGTTCAGGGTGGAGAAAGATCCAGAAACTCAAATCATCACTCTTTGGTTCCATCATCCAAGGTGAGAAATGCCAACAGCAGAGCCCAGGTGGATTCTGAGTCATTTTGTGGGTTCCTTATCAAATGGATTTTTAAGTACCTCTCCCCCAAAGAAGCAAAGACAAAAGGTAAAAACCTGCCCCCAAGCTGTCAGGCACCACTATCTCTTGATGGCTTCACGGATGGGGGCCCCCATTCTCTGACCCTTGTCAGACGTAATTCTTGGTGGGGTACTCGGAGGGCCCCTGGGGGGTGGCAGGGGCAGATGCTGCCGAGTATCGGGCCATGTACTGACTGGGGCCATGGGGCCCCCTTGAGGGGCAGGTGCAGCATAGCAGACCCCCACCCAGCAACAAAAGGCCCGAGGCCGCCCAGCCCAGGTATAGGGATGCCCCCAGCTCCCGCTTGAGGGCCTCAGCCACCAGGGGGTTGTAGAAGTCCTGGATGATGGTGTGCGCCGTCCAGCAGGAGGGGATTAGGGTCAGGACCCCCGAGATGACAAAGATGATCCCAGAGGTGAGCACCAGGCGGGCCTTGGAGTCCTTGTCCTCCACACAGGTGGTACACTTGGCCCCAGCAAGATAGACCAGCAGGCCAAGCAGGGCCATGAGGAGGGCTACCACACAGAGGGCGCGGGCAGCCTGCAGGTCCTGCGGCAGCGCCAGCAGCGAGTCGTACACCTTGCACTGCATCTGGCCGGTGCTCTGCACCACGCAGGACATCCACAACCCCTCCCACACCACCTGGGCCACCACGATGCTGCTGCCGATGAAGGCGGTCACCTTCCACATGGGCAGGGCACAGGACACCAGGGCATTCACCCAGCCCAGCAGGGTCAGGATGATCCCCAGGATCTGCAGACCGGCAGAGGCCATGGCGAGACCGAAGGAGCTGCACTGTGGGGACAGAAGACCGTGAGGTGAAGACCGGCAGCCCAGACCCTGCCACATGAAGTGGCCGCCACGCAGGACATCAGGAGCATGCACCCCGGAGGTGGTCATCCCATCCTGCAATTCAGGTGAGACTCGCTCCCTGAGCCTCATTTCTCATGAGCAACATGGTTGCTGCATATTCCAGCATTTACTTTCTCTGGTTATGTGGCAGAAACTGGCTCACGGCAGGGAACAGGCAAGCAGCCCTGTCCTGGCTGTTTGAGTGCAAGTGAAAGAGGACAGCAGAAGGTTGAGCAAATGCCAGTTCCGGGCCACAGCCACCCTTGAGAACATGTGTTCAAACTGACAAGTGGTAAACAAGAGGGATGAAAGGGCAGTGCAATTTCCAGGTGGTCTCCGTGGGGCACACAGATGGTGGCTTGGTTCCAGCCCCGAATTTCAGGCTCAAACCCTGTCAGCTTCAACATAGATTGGAGATCCACCACACATTGTCCAAACCCCTCATCCCAACTTGGTCTACATTCCAGGCTGGGGCCACTGGCCTGATCTTAACCCTGTGTCATGGCAGGGTGTGCAGTGGCTCATGCCTATAATCCCAGCACTTTGGGAGGCTGAGGATGGCTGGAGCCCACTGGCTCAAGACCAGGCTGGGTAACTTGGTGAGACCTTATCTCTACAATAAATAAAAAAGCTAGCTGTGCACGGTGGCACGTACCTGTAGTTCCAGCTACTTGGAAGACTGAGGTGGAAGGATCACATGAGTCCAGCAGGTCGAGGCTGCGGTGGCTGCGAGCGTGCCACTGCACTCCAGCCTGAGCAACAGAGTGAGACTCCAACTCAAAAAAAAAAA